GGTTATGTATTACCGAGCTAAAGCTCATTCGCCTGCCGTCGAAGCTATCACTGCAATGAGATGTATCTACTTCAATGGACAGAAATTGAGAAAATGGCTGATCGAAAATTGTGGAATACATAATGAAAATGCTTCTTCTACTTGTGGTAACCGAATTACCCAGCGCACAAACATTTATGCGGTTTTTTGCTATTTTTTCGAATTTGCGACCCTGTAACTTTTTTCAGATCGATTTCCTCCACGGGAGATTAGTGTTTTTAAGGGTTTTCTGACACGGGCTTTCCATTAATCCCACTTTCATTTTGATCTGCCCGTACCAACGAGGTTACTTCCCTTGTTAGTTTTTGTCAACCTGTTTTACCCTCTTCATATGCACAACACTTATCCTTTTTTCACTGGTAACTTTCCATCTTCTCTATTCTCTGGTTTACCCTTTTACTCATCCTTTTTACTTTAGCCTTTTGTTTGGCGAAAAACACTTTCCAATTTAACCATCATTAACTTTATTTTATTATCATTGTTCAAATCATTAGTTGTCAACTAAACTAGAACTAAACCAACGTTTTTTACCCCAAAAATTAGGTTTTCATGCTCAATGTATTTTCAACTTTCACTGTTTTTTTTACTTCAAATGGTTCTCATCCCAATTCCTGGTTTAACCAGAAAAATAAAAATTTGCTAATCTTAAATGGTTAGATCTAATTTAACCAGTTTAACCCTGGTTTTCACCCAATCTTCATTGTCACCACATTGACTTGAATACAAACATCATTAACCTTTTGCTTTTCACTTCAACTTCCGATTATCACCATTGACTATTAATGATTTTCCTCGAGCCAATTTGCTAATTTATCTCTCTTTTCTCTCTCTTTTACCCATTTTTTGTCAAACTATTTTACAGTTTATTGGTGTATGTGAGGTTCCTCGGCCTAATTCAAGAGTGGAAATCGTAGCTGCCATGAGACGAATACGACATGAATTTAAATCGAAAGCCATTAAAAAGCGTAAAGTAACCATTGAAATTTCACTTGAAGGTTAGTTTTGTAACCCTTTTTCATGTACTTTTTTCCCCATTAACATTTCCCTTCATTGAGCTAAATTGTAAACATTATCATCGTCTTCAATTTTGTAACTCTTTGGTACATTTCCAAGCAACTTTACCCACCAACCTCCAAATCATAATGAAAACCTTGATTATACACCCAACTCATGATGGAGAAAGTGCTTTATTTTCAGAGCAACGTCTCTTCCCTTCAAAAATCTTAATAATTTAATGGGCTCAACTTTTTCCTCTAATGTTCTCTTCGTATTTTCGCTTTTTTCACCTTCAAAAAAAGTAGAATCTAGTTGACAGAAAAACTTGTGACATTTCTCTTGAGCATCAATCCCATGTAAATTAAGTGTCAATATCATTAGACTCATTATCCTTAATCTACATAAACATTTCTCTACTAATGAACTGTTGATAGGTTTTTCATTGTTTCGTTAAATTATTAACAACACTTGTCCATGAATTGAAACAAACCCAAGACCAACTCTTTGAATGATTTCCATTTTTTGACCCAATGAAAAGCTTTCCAAGTCACAAAATTGAAAACAATTTCATATTTTTAGGCCAATCTCTCATCCAAAGTTTTCTGGATTTTGGGTGAAAAAGTTTCAACCATTCACAATGAACCTCAAATTAATACAACTTTGTAATCCTGTTAACCATGAAAAGCTTGTTTCAATTCATTGGCCAGTTTCAATGCAATTTACATCAACATTATTCATAAATGTTGCTTCTCAGGTTTAACTATCGCACTTATAATGACTTGAACAAATATAAATAATCAAACAAACAAATTGGACAACATGAAATTCATTTGCAAATCATAATAAGTTAATCTTCTTCCAAGGTTGGGATTACCTTTACATTATCAAACGATGATGCATTATGATATTCAGTTTCATGTTTACATCAACAATAATTCAAATTGCTTCACTGAGAGTCACCTCCACCTTTTTTCCTTAACTGGCCCTTAATCTCATGTTCAAATTGATTTACGATGAAACCGGAAATCTTTTGATTGGTTTCAGACGTAAATTCAGATTCTTACATTGGCAGCCTAACAGTGATCATTCTCATATCCATTGAACTTCTGAAGCCTTATATTCTGCATTAACATTACCAAATTGTGTTTCTTAATTCATTGCTTTTTGTCTAAACTCTCTATCGATTGATTGACCAAAAATTTTCCCACTTTCATTCAATTATGAGAAACAAAAATTTCCTTCGACATGGAAAATTGAATAATGAGTTTATTAATCTTTCATTTCTTTTCCTATCAAAATGAGTGAATTTTTTCGCTGATCAAACACCAAAAGGACTTTATTCACAATCACAATGCAATAACATTTGACAGTTGATCGCAGTAAGCTTATTTATAAGATTAATTCTTGTTATTTCATTTAAGTTTTGATATTCTCATTTCACCAACTTCACCTTCAACCCATATATCATGACGATAATGATGAACAGAATTGCTTTCATTGCTTTCATCATTCCAATTCCAATATCTTTTGGTTTATATGGCTTTCATGTGTCTCATGATCATTCCCTTTGTTAGCCAAACAGGTAACCTTTCATATTCATTATTGAACTATTGGTTTCAAATTAAGATCAATCCATGATCAAATTTACAGACTTCAGGCTCCAACATTTCAAAGCATAAAAGCAAAGTTCCATTCATGAGCTATTTAACTTTAATCAAAATAATTTCCTAACGATGCTTTTCCGAGCTATTCAAGTCCAATTCTGTCCACCAGTTTTTCATGATTAAATATGGGTTTTGATATTTCGTTAAATCAATGTCAACAGATTGAAAGCTCTAGTGAAACAACTTCAGATTTAACGTGAAACAACGAATGCTTTTGAAGCTCAAATCTGAAATTCTCATGTATCTAGTATTCATTATTGAATTTTTATCTGAACGGAAAATGAAAAATGTTAAGTTGAGATGAAAAGCGTTATGATGGTTATGGTTGAATTGAATACATGAGGTAAACTTTCACTTGACTTGTATGACAAGTAAACCTGTAATATCACAACATTCATCCCAACACATTCACTTGTTTCCTAACCTTTATAATATAATCTGAATCATTGTTTCTACCTTTTCACTGGTAACTGTAATTTATTTGCTTCTTTACTTGACCAGAGTTTTTATGTTCATCTGTAAATTTGGCAAACTTGTCTTTACTCCTGGTTAAAGGAAACTTTGATTACCTTGAAAAGTAGATAAAAATAATACCAAATAACGACTCGACAATGATATGTTATTACCTTGGACCTATTTTTGTTTCCCCTTTGAGACACAAGACTCAGGCTTATTGTTGATTTTGTTGTTTTAAAGTTTCTCTTCTTAGCTCATGCTTTAAACATGAAATTACTCCATCCAGAACTTGAACAAGTTGACAAATCATTAGTTATTTATATATATTTTAACAATCAGTTTGTCTAAAAAATAATATCAGATTGTAAAATTACTATGAGAAATGATTGCATTGAGACAATTCGTAAAAACATTTCCAAACGAATTCAGTTGTTATCAGAGTTTATCTCATTGCTCATCAATTTTCACCTTTTATTCTGAACATTTCCCTCAACATTCGAAGTAGATGCTAATTAGAAAACAAAGTTCAATGCAAAGTTGATAAAAAACAACTTTATGAGCTTCAAACTCGAATTTCATTTTCTTTCGAAGGCAATTTTTATCAAAAAAAGATTTTCGATTTTTCTTCATCCATTCAAATTTCTGGAAAATCGCGATTTATCTGAATACTTTTACCATAAATGCTTGTCAAGTTTTTGGACAATTTCACTTTCTAACAATTAAAAGTTGAATGTAAATTGATTAAAGTTTTTAATTGTTTTGCAAAAAAGTTTTGTCATTAATCTTGAATTAGACATTGAAAAGTTTTCTGCTTTGAGTTGCAATCATTGAAGCAAACAAAGCTATTAATTGTTGAACAATCATCATTAAATAGACGGAAAATAATGATTTAATGTTGAAATGTTTACGCTTCTGCAACATGAAAAGGATTGATTAATTTTAATTGTTAACTTTATAACCAATAAACACTGAAATTAAAGAGAACCAGAGAATGGTTAATTATCAAATTATTAGATTACCCTATTTAAGGTAATTACATGAATATTTATTATTCACCAAGGAATACACTTGGACCTGCCAGTGAACATAATTTTCAATTTTCTTGCCATGCTTTCTTTCAAACTTTCATGATATATAATCTTTTTATCTGAATCTTTCAACCTTTTCCTTTTTCTCTATTCATTTCCCATGTTCCTCATCTTGTAATACATTTCTCAACTTTCACTTATTTTCAGGCAGAAAAGTAAGTAAAAAGAAAGAAGGAAGAAGCAGAGAAAAAAAACAAGACGTTAATCTAATAATTGAATTGATGCTAACAATGAAAGCCTATTCTCGACTCTCTTCATTGTCTATGTTTTTCCTCATCCTCTTCCTAGTCATCCCAACGTCTGAAGCTCAAGTGAAGCTGTAACAATGCTGAAAAGTTATGAGATTTAACCTGAAAATTCAATTTCCAACTCCTCCAACATTGAAACTCTTTCCCAGTGTCTTATCTAAATGATTGTCCATCTTGCTCATGAGGGTTTCATGATGATGAATCATCCTCATCTCGAGCATCTCAATGAACATCTTGATGAACATCTTTCCAATCATAATCATCCTTGAAATAATCTTCATTCCTCTTCACCATGAACCAACTTTGATTGATAGTAAACTGCAATTATGGCAATAACATTATCTGAAATGTGCATTTACAGTCACAGTAGACTGATCAGATTGAAGAGACTGTTTCAACTTCCATCTTGTAAAAAATGATAAAAACCTTTCATCATTATATTTTCCTCTCTAAAGCTCATCAAAACTTTATCATTTTTGCCGAAAATTCAATTTTTCATTTTCTTTTCTCCTCACTTTTACAATCAGAAAAAGAAGAAGAGGAAAGAATGGAAAAATTGACAAATCTTTTCTTCTTTTCCCATTTACAACACTTGCAATGAAACTTTTGGTTTCACCCTGAAAATCATTAAATGCCATGCAATTAAATTCACTCCAATTTGCAAAACTAACCTTTTGCAAAAGTCCATCTTGAAAGAGCATTTTGATCAACTTATTGACCAACTGACCGTCGAGAGTAAATAAGTTGAATTTTATCCTCTTCCAAATCATGATTTTGATTCTTGAAAATCAAAAATTTTCTGTCAACCCAATCCTCCAAAGACTAACAAGATGGACTTAATGCTTTCTCAAATGTCTATTTATCCAGAAAATAAAAACAAAGTTTTGCCACAGAGCAAAGAATCAAACTTCATGTTAATATGATTGAAACTTTTTGCTATCCAAAAGAAAAAACATAAACTCAGAATCATCTTACTTCATGATTTAGTAACACGCATAAGTGCACATTCAAAATATATAGCTTTTTCCTATTCTTTTTTATTTATTTTTCCATGAACAAAAAAAATCTTCTCTAAATTCAAATCAAATCTGTAAAAACAAAGAGAAAGAAGAAAAAATCTCAACAAATAACCAACAGAACTTTTTCCACCCTTTTACAGACAATTTATCAAAGTGCATTAAGAAGTGGGAGTGAAGAATAAAGTTTTTATTGAAAACCACGAACAACTTTGTTCCAGAAAATTAGAAAAGTTCAATCATTGAAACTCACGGAAACTTGAAATACAAACTTATCGCAATTTGGCGTTTATTTTTCTTCCAATCTCAACCTTTCAGATTTAAATTGTATTTATGAACAGAAGAAGTAAAAAACTGATAAATTGTTGAATCACAATTTATTTTTCTCTAGTAAAATGAAAATATTATCAAAACTGCTTCTGGGAGTTGAAATGTATTCTTGAGAAGGAAATTTCATTTTCAATATCAATAACATTTATATTGATGTGAAACTTTTTGTTTTGTTTTACCTTTTATCCTTTTGAATT